GGCCATATAAGATTACTTGGGATTAAGAATTTATAAATCAATAATTCTTAATTTTTTTGGATCACAAACTCCTCTTGAAAATCTAATGAGAGATATGAGCCCCATCCTCAGAGAATGCTCAAGTCTGTGCTTTTCCTGCTCCAAGAGTATTTTATATTCTCTTTGAAGCAATTATACTATGGACATTGTGCGAGTATGCTAAGTCCTTTCAGTCTCATCCAACTCTTGGCAACTCTATAGACTGTAGCCAGCCAAGCTCAACTGTCCATGGGATTCTCCAGGCAAGAGTACTGGAGTGGGGTTGCCATTTCCTCCTCCAGGGGATCTTCCTGACCCAAGGATCCATCTGTCATCTTCTCCATTGCATGCAGATTCTTTACCACTGAGCCACCGGGAAAGCCCCATGGTGGGGGTGGGTTGGGGGGCTGTATGCATTGAGTAGCTCTAAAAAACTTACCCCAGTTGCTGAAGAATATCCACTATAGTATATACCCTCACAGATTGTGTTTTGTTTATTTGGGTTTATATTAATTTCTATCTTGAGGTCTTATAGGGGAGAGAATTAACTAGTTGGATAGAAAATCCTGTCATGTTGCCATAAAGTGTTTTCATATTTCATGTTTCTTTTGTTGTGTATTCAGCATCTGGATCACTAGCACACTTATTTATTTATTTTATGGACCAGAGGCTCCTGATCTCCATGGAAACTGTGGATCTTCTAAAATCTGAAAAAGGATTATCCTCTCAATCATGAAGATGAATTTGAGAAACTGAGTTGGGTAGAGCAGAGGCAGTGAAAGTAATGAAAAAGGGAGATTAGGGCTCAAAGCATAGTGAGGTGTGTCATAGGCACTTGAGTATAAAACTGCCTTCAGGGTTTCTTAATGGGGCCTTATTAACATTATGGGAGGGACAATTTTGTGTGTGTGTGTGTGTGTGTGTGTGTGTGTGTGGAACTGTCCTGCCCAGTGCAGTACATTTAGCATTCTTGTCTCCCCTCCCCTGTCAAGTGCCATCCCCAGTCAATGTAAATTTTTAAATGCCCCTACATGTTTCCAAAGGCCCCCTAAAAGGTGGTACCACTCTGGTTGAGGAATACTGACAGATATTCTCAATCCTTGGTGGTCTCATACTACCATGACCTAAACTGGTTTAGCAGAAGTCTTTTCTCTATAGGGACTATCCTTGCTTTAGCAAGATACAGGACATTTCTATCAAAGGATCCCCTATGTAGCCCCACTCACTTCCCTCCTATCATCATCTCCACCTTAATATCTAGCAACAACTAATCTGATCTCCATTTCTATAAAAATGCTATATAAACAGGTTAGAGTATATAACCTTTGGGGATTAGCATTTATCACACAGCAGAATTCTCTGGAGATTCATCCAAGTTATGTGTATATCAATAGTTTGTTCTTTTTTATTGCTGAGTACTATTCCATGCTATAGATGTACCACAGTTTCTTTAACCATTCACTTGTTAAAGGACATCTGTGTTGTTTCCAGTTTTTGGCTTTTCATTAATAGATTTGCACATAGGTTTTTTTGTGTGAACATTAGTTTTTATTTCTCTGGGATAAATGCCCAGGAGTGTAAACACTGGATCATGTAAAAATTGCATAGTTAGGGTTTTTCTTTAAATAAACTTTTTTTTTTTTTTTTTTTGGTAAATGAACTGTTTTCCACAGTGGTTGTACTGTTCTACATTCCCACAAGCAATGTATGACTGATCCAGTTTCTCTGCATTGTTCTCACCAGCATTTGAGATTGTCATTTTAAATTTTAGCCATTCTGATAGGTATGTTGTGATATCTAATGGTTTTAATTTGTATTTCCCTAATGGCTAATGATGCTGAACATCCTTTAATGTGTTTATCTGCTATCTGTATATCCTCTTTGGGGAAATGTTCCATCATGTCTTTTGATTATTTTCTCATTGTATTTTTTTTTTGTATCATTGAGTTAGAGAGTTCTTGTATATTCTACACAATAATCCTTTCTTGAGTATATGGTTTACACATATTTTTCCCCAGTTAGCTTGTCTTTTTCATTCTCATAATAGTATCTTTTGCAGAGCAAATATATTTACTTTTGATGACATCTTCTTCTTCAATTTTTCCTTTTACAGATTATGTTTTTGGTGTCAAATTTTTGTCTAACCTTAGATCATGAAGAATTTCTCTTCTGTTTTTTTCTAAAAATTTTATGCTTCACGTTTAAACTGTTGGTCCACTTTGGTGTTAGTTTTTTAATAACGTATGAGGCTTAGGTTGAAAGTTTTGTTTGTTTGCTCTTTGTTTGCCTATGGATATCCAGTTTCTTCAGCAATATGTATTGAAAAAGCTATTCTTTCTCCATTGAATTGCTTTTTCACCTTTGTAAAAAAAAAAAATAAACTGGCATATTTGTTTTGGTCTGCTGCTGAGTTCGCTTTTCTGTTTCATTGATCTGATATTTATTTTTCTGCCAATACCATACCATCTTTACTGCTGTAGCTTTTTAATAAACCTTGAAAGTGGATGAGCTGATTCTTCCCACTTAATTCTTTTTCAAAACATGTTTTAGCTATTCTAGTTCCTTTGCCTTTCCATACAAGTTTTATAATAATTTTGTCTATGTCCACAAAAAAAAATCTTGCTAGGATTTCCCTGTTACTAAGTTTTAAATTGTGGCAAAATTCATAAAACACAAAGTTCACAATTTTAACCATTTTAAAGTATACATTTCCGTTGAGTTTAGTACCTTTGAATTGTTAAGCAACCATCACCATTATCTAGTTCCAGACATTTTCATCACCCCAAAAGGAAGCCCTGTTCCTTGTGAAGTCATTCCCTAACTTCTGGCAATGACTGATTGCTTTCTGTCTGTATGGATTGGTCCATTCTGGACATTTCATATAAATGAAATCATATGTGGCTTATGTCGTTTAGCATGTTTTAGAGGTTCATCAAAGTAGTAGCACGTCAGTACTTCATTCTTTCTTTTTTAAAAATGTCTAATATTTATTCATTTGACCGTGTCAGGTCTCAGCTGTGGCACACAGGGTCCGTGCTGCATCATGCAGATCCTTCATTGCAGTGCACCGGACTCTCTAGTTGTGGCACCAGGGCTTAGCAGCTGCATGGCATGTGAAATCCCAGCTCCCCAACCAGCAATCAAACCCACGTCCTCTGCATTGTAAGGCAGACTCTTAACCACTGGACCACCAGGAAAGTCCCTTCATTCTTTCTTATGTCCAAATAGTATACCATTGTATGTATATACTGCAGTTTGTTTATCCATTTATTCATCAGTGAACACTGGGGCTATTTCTACCTTTTGGCTATTGCTAGTATCATGCTGCTATGAGTGTGCATGTACAAGTATTTTTTTGAGTACCTGCTCTCAGTTCTTTGAGATCTATACCAAGCAGAGAAATTACTGGATTTATTCTATGTTTAACATATTGAGAAGCTGCCAAACTGTGCTCCACAGCAGCTGCAACATTTTATATTCCTGCCACAAGGGGATTAAGGTTTCAATTTCACCTTATTCTCATCAACACTTGTTATTTTCCATTTTTAAAAATTATAGCCTTTTTGGAAAGTGTGAAGTAGTATCTTACTGTGATATATTTGCATTTCCTTAATAACTAATGGCATTGAGCATCTTTTCATATGCTTGCTGGTCATTTGAATATCTTCTTTGGAGAAATTAAATTCAAATCATTTGCTCATTTTTTAATTGAGTTGTTTGTCTTTTGTTGTTGAGTGGTAGCTTCTTCCTTCTTAAAGGATATTTTTGCTGGATATAGGAATCTGGGTTGACAGTCTTCTTTCAGTACTTGAAATAAATTGTGCCACTTCTTATGGCCTCCATGGTCTTTGAAGAGAAATCTGCTGTCATTCAAATTGCTAATCTGTTGTAGGCAAGGTGTCATTTTTCACCACTTTCAAGATTTTTTTGTTTTTAGTTCCCAGCAATTTGATGATGATCTTTCTTGGCATGAATTTGTTTGGGTTTATCTTCTTTAGGGTTTGCACAGCTTCTTGAATCTGTAGGTTTGACTTCTGCTAAATTTGAGGAGTTACTTATTATTTCTTCTAGTACTTTTTTTAGTCTTGTTCTTTTTCTCTACTCCTTCTGGGAATCTGATGACATGAATGTTCGATCTTTTGTTATAATCCCACAAGTACCTGTGACCCTGCTTTTTTTAAATTCCAATTCCTCTGTTGTTCAGATGGAATAATTCCTGTTTTTTTATCTTTCAGTTCACCAATTCTTTTCTCTGTCCCCTCCACTCCGCTGTTGAGCCCATCCATTGAGAGTTTTTATTGTATTTTTTAGTTATAAAATTTCTGTTCAGTTTTTCTTTATATTTTTTATTTCTTTGCTTAAACTTTTTTTTGCTGGAACTTTCTAATTTTTCATTTGTTTCAAGCATGTTCATAATTGCTTGTTGAAATATTTTTATGATGATGGCCTTAAAATCTTTGTCAGATAATTCAGCCATCTCAATCATCTAGGTATTGTCTGTTTTCATTCAATTCAAGATCTTTCTTATTGATATGATGAGTGCTTTTTAATTGAAGCCTGAACATTTGGGACCCTGGATCTTATTTAAACCTTCTGTTTCAGTTGGCTGCTTCTGACACTAATCAGGTAGAGGAAGTGGTGGGTAAGATGCCTTGTGAAAACCACATAGGTGTAGAATTCCAGGTTCCCCACTGTCTCCATTAACACCTGAGGAGAGGGGTTCCCTCATTACTGATGGGCAGGAGTAGGAGTTCCAGCTCCCCACATGGCCTCCACTGACACTGCAGCATACGAGTGCCTTTGTTATCACTAGGTGTTGGTGAAAGTACTATGAAAGTACCATGTTTCCTCTGATAGCAATCCAGCAGGGAAGAGGAGGAATACTTCCTTACAGGCCTGCTGAGAATGGAAATCTAGGTATCCCATTCAGTCTTTGCTGGTGTGGGTTGACGTGGGCCACAGTTCTTTCTGTGGCATTTGGCTGGAATAGAGCAGTTATTATCTAAAAGTTTTTTTATTTTGCTAGGCTACCTCTTTCCCAGTCTTGTGACTAGCGAGAGCAGGCTTTTGTTGTTATTGTTTTGGTTTTGTTTGGTTTTATTTGGCTGCATCCATTGCATTTCCAGGTTGCCAGCTTCTTCAGCTCCAAGTCTGGGGCATATGAGACACTAAGAAAACCCAGGGAAGTCATCACTGTGGTTCCTTGGGCTCTGAGGCCCCTTGCTAGTCTGCTGCTTTCTATTTTTCAGAGTCTTGTATGTTTGTCCTATATGAAATGTCCAGGGTTTTTAGTGGTATTAGCAGGGAGAACAGAGGAAAGAACATCCACTCAATCTCCTCCGATCCATTCTCTTTTATTCACTTATTTGATTTTCCTCTAGATTGTGAGCTCTTTATGTATATTTTTTGTATCTTCGGTACCTACTCTGGCACGTAATCTGTAAATGTTTGCAAAAAGGAAAAAAGAAAATAGAACATGGAATGAAGTAAATGAATTGTACTCCCCCTCATTCATCTTTAGGTGTGTGGTGCCAGGAAGGAGGAGGCTTAATCCTGTTCTGAATGATGAGATTTCTCCTGGTGCTTTGAGGTTGAGAAAGGAGGCTTGCTCCAAGCAAGAGCTAATACTGCAGTACTTCCCAATTTTTCATGTTACTGAAAATTACCAGCAGGTGGCAGAATAACTGGTGAAAGTAGACTGTTGACCAAAGCTTAAGGAGGCTGATTGATTTCCTTTGTGCCATAGAAAAATAAAGTGGATTGCCTTGTACAACCCCATTTTGTACAACCCCAAAATGTTGCTCTGAGGGTTTGATTTTTTTCTTCTTCAGCATTTGCATACAGGTAGCTGCCCAGTGGGAACAGAGACGGAGTAAAAGAAAGTGGGCTTTGTTGGGTTCCTTGGTGACTTGTGACACCAGGATTACTTGGGTTTTGTGAAAATAAATCTCTAGTGTTTATGTACTCTTCTCCCTAGGAAAGTGTGGATTGGATGACCAGAGGATTGACACTTTCCTTACACAACTCTTTAATATTGATACTTTGAAAGCAAAACGAATCAGTAAACTCCCCATAAATATCTGGCATCCTACCATTCATTTTTTCTATCAGGCCGTGCTGATTTTTGCTTCAATTTTTTAGTTCTCTTTTTCACTTATTATCAAAAGTGTTTTCTGATCTTAAATCGTGGGGGTTGCTTTTTAAACTTTATATTTGAACTTATGTGCAGAGAATTAATCACAGTGACCAAAAAATGTCTGAGAGGAGACTTGTCTCTTTCATTTTTGGTTTTCTCAAATTTTTATTTTGAAAAATATCAAACGTACAAAAATTTAAAATAATACAATTTCAGTTACCCTTCACCAAGATTCGTTAACATTTTGTCATATTTGCTTTCTGTCTCCTATAAAGCAAATTTACATACATTGAGGGGTATGGTTTTTAAGATTCCTTCAGTCTAGGTATTCACTCCAGTTTTCTTTTCTTTCTCCTGTCTCCCTCTCTTCCGTCTTCATATTTGAAATTTTTGAAGCTCCAAAAGTCTTCTCTTAGTCTCCCACAAGCGAATTATGCTCAGATCCTGCTGACAACCAACCAACCATAGGCTGAATTACTTTTACTTGTCTGTAATGTTCGCTTTGGTCAATAAAGTTTGGCCTAAATTCACAAGCGATTAAAAAAAAAAAAAAAACTGCTATAGGACCTCTATATTCCTTAAGGAAAAATTCCTGGGAGAGCCCAGCTAGAGGCTTTTGCTTTTCCGCTGATCGCAATTCAGGAAATAACTGCAAACACGGGAAGCTGAGAGTTTCCTATTAGTCTTTCGATCTTTTCTCCGGACAGTTGTCTTTAATTTTGGAAACTGCGATCGTGTGCATACGATACTTACTTAGCTTTCGGAGCCAAGCTGGAGCGTTCTTTTCAGGATTTTCTACTTCAAGAAAAAAAGATAGTTTTCTACGAGGAAAAAGTAGTTTCGGCGGAGTGAGGGCCCAGTAGTCAAGAATCTCAAAATCTAGATAGCTGAAAGAACACACGTCACAGAATGCGTAAGCAAAGACACAAACTTACTAAGCCTCATATATTCGTATCCGCAACACTTTGCTATCGTCCCTGGTGGTCTAGTGGTTAGGATTCGGCGCTCTCACCGCCGCGGCCCGGGTTCGATTCCCGGTCAGGGAAACATTCGTTTTCTCTCCTGAATACTTTTCATGATTAACTTCGTTTCTTCTACTCAGTTCCCACATGGGTGACCTTAGCTGAAACATGGAAAATACAGAAGAACATAAAAAATGGCTTACCCGTTTTTGAAATACAAAATGGAATAAGGCTCTACATACTGTTTTATTGCAAACTATTTTTAAAGTTATTATATTGCTAACACTTTTCAGTGGAAATAAATATACTTAAGCAAAATCATATTTTCTTTTAATTTAATTATTTAATTTCTGTAAAGGTAATATAGTCACATGGTTTAGGATTCAAATATGCAAAAGGGCGTAACTATCAAACCTAATTTTCACCTCTGCCTTCTAGTTTTCTTCTAATAAGGCAGTCAATAGTACGTTTTGTAATTACACTGTAAGTATACTATAAATATAAAATATAAATTTATTTTAAATGCAAATACATTCATACATACATATATTTAAATACGTTCCTCTTTCTTACACATATGATAGCAATCCATGCACACTTTTTTGAACTTTTGCCTTAAACATATATTTAAAAAAATAGTTCCAGATTACACATGAAGACCTTCCTCATTCTTTTGTATGGTACATAGAATTCCATTGTATTGATACTCTATAATTAATGCAACCAGCTTCCTATTGATGACAATTAGGATGTTATTCTAATCCCTTGGCCGCCATAAAAATAATCTTCTACATATCATTTTGTCGTCATTGTTTAGTCGCTAAGTTGTGTCTGACTCTTGCGTCCCCATGGACTGAGGCCTAACAGGCTCCTCTGTCCAAGGGATTCTCCACACAAGAATACTGGAGTGAGTTGCCATTTCCTTCTCCAGTCATTTTGTACATGTGTAAAATAAATGTCCAAGAACTGAAATGCTGGTTCAAAAGATATGTGCATTTGTGGATGGGTAGTGCCAATATGCCCTTCTTCGAGGTCTTATCAATTTATACTCCCACCAGCAATGTACAATATAAACTTTTTTTTTTTTTTTAAAGCTCATGTGGGTTTTCGTCAAAATGAATTTGATCAATTGTGCTTCTGAACTTTTAGGTTTTTGTCCTTAATATTTTGGCTTTACAAATAACACTTTAATGAACATCTGTGTGAATATATCATTGTCTATCCTTGGATACTGCTTTCTGATAAATTCATAGAAGTGGAATTACCATTTCATATATTAGATGGATTAAATAATTAAATATAAGAACTGAAATTAAAAATAGTGGATAATTATCTTATTGGGCTGGAGAAGACTTTTTCAAGATAAAAACAAACAGAAATCAAGACTGACAGTTAAAACTACATAAAAACAGAAAACTGCCCATCTGAAATCCTATAAATAATATTAAAAGACAAATGGCAAACTAGCATGTCAGTAATATACATATAATACAAATACCCAATAGAAAAAGTCAACCAAGTGTATGATTTAGTTCTCAAAACTAATACAAATAATTAGTAAAGTTTATGAAAAATGATCAACTTAGGTAGTAGTACAGTAAATAACAAGTTAAAATGAGACTCCAAATTTTTATGTTACACTTTTGTAAAAATGAAAAGGAAGATGATATCTAATTGACTGATGTAATTGACTGATGTAATTTGGTAATACACTTTGGGTGAGGTTGCACCACACAGCAATTTGGCAACATGTATCCAAATCTTAAAAATGTAGCTTTTCAATGGCAACTTTACCGCTATGCATTTGTGCGGAGGAAGCAGTCTGAAACGCTTAACAATATGTGTACAGAGATAAAACCCACATTAAAGCCTGAACTTGTCCGCTGGATTTCAGAGGCACGGTTCAAAAGACAGTAGATAAGCTAAATCGATTTTCCTTAAACCTCTGAAACAAGTAAAAAAACTACCACAAAATTTTTAATATACCCACAGAAGAAATCCTAGAGGTCTTTTTTTCCTTTTCGTCCTTTGGCTTTATGTTGACTGTTTCTCAACATAAATCCCTAAACATGAAAGTCAGACCAAAATAATCAACTCGTCATAGGGAAATAAACCAGCTTACCTTCCTGTGTGCGTTGGTGGTATAGTGGTGAGCATAGCTGCCTTCCAAGCAGTTGACCCGGGTTCGATTCCCGGCCAACGCAGCGCCTCTTATTTTTGTCAGGCCAAACGGAGGGAGAAAGATCTTTTGACCATTTGTCCTCAAAGTCTAATCCTTCAGGGAGTTTCAAGCGAGAGTGAAGCTCCACGTTTCTTGCTGCTACCAAGCCAAGCCTGTCTGCTGGGTTTGGCCTCTTGCTTCGCACCTGTTTAAGATAATTGTCCTTTGGGGGGCCTTTAGGTAATGTCCGAAAAGGACTATGATTTGATTTGTTTTTCTGAACACTCCTAGGCGGCTTAGATTTACTGAAGAGTCTGCCCAAGAGTCCTTAGTTTCTGAGAGCGGGCGCCGAGGAACGGTGAGGGAAGCAAGAAAAAAATAAAGGGACCTCAAAGCCTTTCGCAACTCACCAACTCCGCTTCTCTTTCGGTTCCAACATTCAGGAAACAAACGTCAGCTCCAGGGTACCAGGTGGAGGTGTAAATAGGCCGAACGCCTCGAATATTTGCAGGGGAAAGAAAGAAGTGGTTTGAGGAAGGCGACTGGGGACGCGGTCCCCCGGCTGCAGGCGACAGACCTCTCAGATCTCGACAGTGCGCCGCCGCCCAGCAGAGGGGTGACACTGGTGCAGGCACCCTGGGATTCTGGGACCCAGATTCGGGTGTCAGACCTGGCTTCGAAGTTGTGAGTGGAAACATTTGGGTTTATGTGCGAATAGCGCCAACTAGGCAAAGAAAGCTACAGTAAGATAATTCTGTTTCAAAGGATATTAAATCCAGCCGCACTGCGCCGCCGCGAAGGTAGCGCGCCGTGATCGTATAGTGGTTAGTACTCTGCGTTGTGGCCGCAGCAACCTCGGTTCGAATCCGAGTCACGGCACGTGACTGTATATTCGCGTCGGCAGTCCTTGTTTTTCGGAAACTTTAAGCGATTAAAAAAAAAGTTTGTAATCCACTTTTGCTCAAGACTGCACCGCAGAATATGCGATCTATGAATTAGACGAATAACTGTCTCATTCCGCGGAGCTCACTCTGCGGCTCATCGACCTAGGCGAACCTGACCAGCCCGGGCAGAGGCGCTTTCAGGGCGGTGTGAAGCGCCTCGGAGCTGAGAGAAAAGCCTGCCTCCACCTGAGCAGAGGAGACAGCTTTTCGCGGGTAACTCCGGAACTCAGCACCTCTTCCAGAAGTTGGAGAAATGAACGTTTCGGAGAGTGGAGTGAAATCTCCCGTGGGCCCCCAAGCCTGGGGCTCTGAATTCCATCCGACTTGAAATTTCAGTGGGGCTTTTACACGTAATGAATATGGTCTTTTACTCAGGTCACACGAAGTTTAGTATTTAAAACCAAAATCGTGCCCCAAATGAATAGTGAATTGGACTTATTTTCCGAGAGACGCGTCCGTCAGCTCCACCTCCACCTCACCCCCTGGTCCTAATGGCTGAACGGGGAAAAGGGTTTCGGACCCGGAAGGAAGCAGGAGGTTTCGGGAGAGCAGGTTCCCGCTCCCCTCCTAGTCCCTGCGGCAGTTTGCGCCTGTCATCCCCGTTCCCTTGCGCCTTTTCGCCTCTTCTTCAGTATTCTGGGTACCAGACACTGGGTTATCAAAGGAATTTGCTAACCAAAAGGTCTCAAAACCGGTCTAAAAGGAATCTGAAGAAACGTCGGGGTTTCAGGATTCGTGATTCCTGGGTCCTCGGCAAGCCCCCTGGCCTCGCGCAGTCCCGTCACTATCGAAGCCTCGAGTTTTTTGGTGGCAAAGGCTTCTAGTACATTTATAAAATCCTAGAGCCCGAGGAGTCTTTCAAATTAAATTGCGTAAATCTTTGACCGTGCTGGTAGGCCTTTGAAAGAAACTACAGTTCTGTGCGAAAGGCTCTTTGCACTGACGCCCGGCTAGCTCAGTCGGTAGAGCATGAGACTCTTAATCTCAGGGTCGTGGGTTCGAGCCCCACGTTGGGCGGCGTAAGATTTTTGTTTTTCCTACCCACCTTCGATTTTATTACATCTTCCTTTATTCGCTGCCAACTTAACCAGCAGCTTCTAAATAACTATTGTGGTCACTGCTGTTTTAAACTTAAGCAAACTATTCCAGAAATCTCCTCTATTTGCCCAAATTTCAGCAAAAAGAGGAATCTGGGCTACCGATTCCAGCATCTCAGGTTGAGACCAGGGATCCCTGATCCACGGCTTCCTGGACCCCGGTTCCTCCGAGGACCGAATCCGGGGCCCGCGGAGCTCCCCCTTTGTTGTGTTTCGACTTGCCCCACCTAGAAGACGTCTTAAGATAGGGGTTCCCAACCCTCGGGTAGCGGACCACTAGCGGTCCGCTGCCTGTTACAAACCGGGCCGCACAGCAGGAAGTGAGCTTCATCTGCTGTTCCCCATCGCCCCCCATCCTTCGTATTACCTCCCGAACACCATCCCCGCACCCCGCACCCCCCTCACCCTCAGCCCCACCCCGTGGAAGACGTGGAAAAGCCGTCTTCCACGAACCTACTTCCTGGTGTCAAAAAGTTGGGGACTCACTGTCTTAGGACAGGACCAAACGGAAACACTTTCGTTCTCTTTTAGTCAGTGGGAAATTTTGGATGAGGTGTTGAAGTGCCTTCTTCGGTAGTTAAAAAGTTCGCCGTTAGGTGCTAAGCAACGTGCTTTTGCTTTCTTGGTTTTGAAACGTCCATCAGCCTCAAAGGACTGATCTCCAAAAGAAAAAGAGGAGAGGGCCCAGGAAAAGAAGCTGAGGAGGAGGGACGCGGAAGAGCAAAAGAAAGGGGGAAAGGATCGGGAGGAGCGAGGATGAAGGCCTGGAGCGGGGCAGGCGGGGAGATTGCAGTACTGTCATTGGATGAATATATCCGGCCTCTCTGGAACGCTGCACGCAAGCTTTTTGAATTGGCTGTTGACCGGTCATTTTGAGTTGGATCGAACTTTGCTCTACCGGAAGGCCCGAGGTTGTTTACGTTGTCCCTGCTAAATCTCCCATTCAGTGTTCGGACGGGTGGTGTGAGTAAAGTCCTTTCTCAAGGTGAGTGGAAGCCGAGTTTGGCACCAGTCATCAGGCTTTTCTCCACCACAATGCGGACATTCCCTTTTAATTCGTCAGACAGATCTTCCCACTTCTCCGGAAGGATCATTGGCCAGTCCTACCTTTTTTTTTTTTTTTTAAGTTTGTAAATGTTTAGACTCTATTATTTATGGAACCATCTCCAAAATCAATACAGTAGCCAATTATTCTCAAGGTATTGTGTCAAGATAAGCATCACCAAAATCCCTGGAAACTTTTGAGAAATGCAAATCCTCAAGCCCTACTTCAGACCTACAGATTCAGAAACTCTTGAGGTGAGCCCAACAGACAGACTCACTAGGTGATTTGGATAAATGCTCAAGTTCAGGAACAGCTGTATTAGAGCAACTTCCTTTCCTATCAACCAAGATGTACCATGTTCTTGGGTAGGATACTCAACATCAGAAAGATAACACCTCTCCTTAACCTGGTGTCTGAATTTAACAGTTTTCATTAAAATATCAAGAAATTTTTTAAAATTCAAGCTGGATAACATATAATCATAAAGTTTAAATGGAAAAATAACAAGCAGTAACTGTCAGGGAAATTCTTTTTTAGAAAGTGGAATGAGGACGGACTAACCCTATGAAATATTAAAATGCCATAAATTATAATGATTAAAGTGGTAAAATATCTTGTATGAATGAAACAGCAATCAATAGGACAGCATAAAGTCCAAAAATAGACCAAAATATATAAAGAAATGTAACATAGTAGAAAGAGGGACTCGAATCATTAGTTCTAATGAGCAATATTTTAATACTAGGTAGCTGTCTGAGAAAAAAATAATGGTCAACAAATCATAACCTTTGTGTGTTCAGTCACTTAGTCTTGTCAGACTTTTTGAGACTGCATGGACTGTAGCCTGCCAGGCTCCTCGGTCCATGAAATTCTCCAGGCAAGAATACTGGAGTGGGTTGCCATGGCTCCCTCTAGGGGATCTTCCTAACCCAGGGATCGAAACTGCGTCTCCCGCATCTCCTGCATCTCCTACATCTCCTGCATTATAGTCAGAGTCTTTACCGTTGAGCGACACCAGGGAAGCCCAGTGACATCCTTTACATAAAAGTAAATTCCAAATTGATCAAAGATTTAAAATAAAAAAGAAAACATAAAATTCTTATAGAAATATGAAACAATTATTTTGTTTTCTTGGGGTGTGTGTGGAAAAGGCTGTTCTAACTATGACACAAACTCAGTCCTGAGAGAAAATATTGATTAATTTCACTATATAAATGAATGGAATCTCCGTAAGAAAAGTCGAAAGACAAATGACAATTTGGGGAAGTATTTGCAACTCATATATTGTGTTTAAAACCCTCCATTTTGAGTTAATTCTTTGGTGTATCAACATCCTTCTCACAGGCCCCTTGTGAATGCACACACAAAACCAACTGAAACCCCTTGAAAAGCAACCCAACCGGGACTCTTAACTTTCCCCTTCTCCCTCCACTTCCCTGGCTCCCTGCTGCTCCCTCTTCCTCTTTCCTTCCTCTCTTTCTCCATCTTGGGTTGCTTTCCTTAGACCCCACTCAGGACCCCAGTGAAGGCTACAGTGCAAAGACCCTGGCTCTAACTGCTCCCCACTTGTTCAACTGAACACCCTGCCCACTGTGCTTCTGCGTGGCCCTGCACTTGGCAGCGGTGACTCCACTCTGGGACCTGAGAGTATAATAACCTTCTCTTCTGTTTCTCGTCCCTTCCCGTGGCTGCACCAAATTTATCATACCATGCTGGAAATCTACATTCTTAGAACACACATCATGTACAAAAGACTAATTTCCCTAATATTTACAGAACTATAAGCCAACAAGAAATAAACCAATAACCCAATAAAAATTTCAAACATATAAAGAATAGAAAATATAAAAGGCTATTGCCCCTACGAGAAGATACTTAACATTCAACACTGCTGTTAACAAAAGTAGTGCAATTTAAAACTAAGTTGAAATAACATTGTCAGTCATAAGAAATGGTAAATTTTTTGAAGTTTAATATGTTGGAGAGTGAATAAACATTGTTAACAAGAGGGTGAATTGGTACAAGTTCTACAGGGTGCTTTTTGAACAATCTAAAAAATTTTCACAAACATTTTTTTTAACTTCAGCAATCCACATTTAGAACTTTATCCTACAATATAGCTATACAAGTGTGAAATTGTGTACAAAGTTATTCAAGAAACACTTTATTAACTAAAAAACTGGAAACTCTCCAAAGGTCCATCAGTTTGGGGGTGACTAAATAAATGGCAATACAACCACACAATTAAATATAGCTGTAGAAAAGAATGAGAAAGCTCTTGAGAGAAGACTTACAGAAATTGGTTATAATTCAATAATAAATACATGGAAAATAAAGCAAATGGAAAAGTAACATAATTGTTACTGCCAAGGGAAAAATATATTCAAAAAGTGATAACATTAAATTCTGTTACTAGTTTGTATAGTAAAAATGATAATCATTAATCTCTCAAAATTATTACATAAGCATATTGATATATTAGGGTTTCCCAGAGAAACAGAACTAATAGAAGATACACACAAATGTATATAGAAATTTAGTTTGTATACAGAGATGTTATTGTGGAGGGTGGTAAATCTAAACTCTTCAGGGTAGGCCAACAGGCTGGAAACCCGGGGAAGAATTGATGTTGTAACTCTAATCTGAAAACAGAGTCTAGAGGCAGAATTCTGCCTTCCTTTGGGGATCTAAGTCTTTTTCTCTTAGAGCTTTCAATGGATTGGATGAGGCCTACTCACATTTTGGAGGGTAATCTGCTTTACACAGAGTCTACTGACTTAAATGTTAATCTCATCTAAAAAATACCTTCAAAGGAACATCTGGATTAATATTTGACCCCCGTATCTGGGTACCATGGCCTAGCCAGATTGACACATAAAATTAACCATTACAATCGGGAAAATGGAAAAGTGGAAAATGTATATGTGTGTGTAGTGGGTGTATGTAAAGGAGAGATAAAGTGCCTAAAACTAGAAAATCAAAAATTAACAATATTTATTTATATAAACAGATGAATAACCGATCACTGATTAAAAGAATTTAAAGTAGTTACTTCTAGGGAGCAGGAAATGGCAGAGAGTTTCAGGGGACTGTCAGTTTTCATTACCAGGTTTTTAAGTGTTTGACTTTCTAAACTATGTGCATATATAAGCTTGCTAAAAATAAATACTAAATGAAAAAGCTTTTTATATGTTGTAATGTTTCAAGTATTTTACCAATTTGTTGTCTTTTGAATATTGTAGAGGAACAGTTCTGCTGTGGCACCCAGGTGACCTTCTATGTATTTGCACAGGCCACAGAAGCGAAGACCTTGAAGTGAAACTATTGTGAAACTTACCACAAGGCAAAGCACCTTATGATTGTCCCCAAACAGGAGAGGACGGGAGGCTTGTGAAGAGCAGCCAGGAGACAGCTTCCATTCTCCTCCCTGTCTACTCTGGGACAGTTTTTCATTGCCTTGCAACTTCTAATCACACTTAAGGCATTCTACTTACCTCCTCACTCCTTCTCTGAGGACAGCTGCAGACTGTAAAACTCTTAGCTGCAGTCTAGAATTAACTCCTCAATAACAGGGTTATCCCACAACTTGCATTGCAGTCACTGACCCCTTTTGTTTCAGTGACATCCCTTTGGATGTTGGAGATGAGGACTCGTGAAGTCTATACCTTCAACTACTCTTCCTTTTGCTGTATATGTAAGTAATAAACCATCTGAATCTAAAAGTGGCTTGTCATTGCAATGAGAAGGCCGTGCACCTCAACTAGAGAAAAGCCTGTGCAGCAAAGACCAAGCACAGTCAAAAATTAAAAAATAATGACAATAATAATAAAAGTGACTTATATCTTTACAGGTTGAATCACCCAGGCCTTGACTTTGCCAGATGTTGAGTGCTTCATTTACCTTTTTTTTTTTTTTTAAACTACATATGTACATGTGAAAGTGGCTCAGACCTGTCCAACTCAGTCCATGGAATTCTCCAGGCCAGAATACTGAAGTTGGTATTCTTTCCCTTCTCCAGGGGATCTTCCTGACCCAGGAATCAAATTGGGATCTCCTGCATTGCAGGCAGATTCTTTGCCAACTGAGCTATCAGGGAAGCCCTTTTTTAGCTAAACAAATTCTTAAACTTTTTATGTAGGTAAAGGTATTGGGTTTTTTTTCTTTCCCTAGGGATTTTGAGTTTTACATTATTCTTAGAAAAAAATTTTCCCTACAAGACAGTAGAAGTTTTATTACAGGTATTTTCTGAAGGAAGAAAGTTGTAATTATTCTTCTGCTAATGAGCTGAACAGATGCAGTGAGCTCTCAGATAACTTTGTGGCATATTCCCTGAAGCCCTCTGAAACCCAGACCTGCTGAGGAGTAAGAGGGTTTCCTGGGACCTCCCAACTCAGGATTCTTGGGCTCTAAGAAGGGGATGCAGTCACTAAATAGATGGTGCAACATTTTGGAGGCTAGCTGTAGTGAAGAGCAGTTACTAGGCCTGATTGGCCAAAGGAAGAGAGCTGTTTCTAGAACC